AAACTTCCTTCCTGACCAAAGCTCTGAGGACTTTAACGACTTCATGAGGGGGGGTGGGATGCTTCCAAGAGGTCCAGCTTTCCCCTAAAGTGCAGACACAGGGAGCTGTGGATGCATTTGCGTTTGTTTATCTATATCCCCATTTTCTCCCCAGGTCGGACTCAAAGCAGCTTTTAGAACGCTTGTTCTCCCCCAACAACAACCCGGTGAGGTCGGCCAGGTTGAGAGTTTGCAATGGACACAAGGTCACAAAGCAAGCTTCCATCGTAGAAGAGGGGATTTCGAACCCGGGTCGTCCGGGGTCCTAAGTCTGTACTCTATCCACTACCCCACAATGGCTCTCGCTGGATGTGACTGACTTTCCTGAGGCTATGTGGGTTATTCAGAACTCAGATAAGTCTGTCTGCCGAGGGAACAGGAAACAGCAGGGTCTGGATTTAGGGCCCTACCGATAAAGTCGAGGAACTTCTCATCTGATGCAAACACACAGAGAACTTTCGAGAAACAGCCAGCTCTGTCAGTTCCTTAAATTCTCCCCCGGGCTAGAGCAGAATGCTGACTGATGCTGAACTTGCACACAATTACCTCCCCCATCCACCTCATGACTGATTTCCCCGCTTTCCTCGATCCCCCCCAAGGCACAAACTCTGAATTCCATTCCACACGCAATGCACCTGGTTGCAATCTTCCTTCCGTATGTGGTGCATCTCAAGTAGCTTCAAAGCGACACGCATACCAAGCGGACTACCTTCTGCACTGGCACGAAACCGAGAGTCAAGTCTTGCCTGTTGCAAATGAGTGCCTTCCAGGCGCAGGGGTCATCCTTCACCCAGTGGTGTGATCCCAACATGTGGGACATTCGGGCCAGTCCCAAAGAGCTTTCCCTCTCAGCAGTGACAGCCCCTTAAACCAAGTCAGAACGCCGGTCCCTGAAGCTCAAGTCACCTCTTCACACATTACAGAGCATGCAGGTTGGGTCTGGAGCAAGGCTCCCTCTAAGCTGTGGAGTCCTGTGAGCAAAAATTCTACTCGGTGAGCTCCTGGCATTACAGTTGTGAGCGAGCGATTTGGCTGCTGCATGAATTAATTTGCTCTGGAGCCCTCCTTCCTGAGCTAACAGAGGCTAAAAAACTGTGAGCTAGCTCACACTAGCTCAGCTTAGAGGGAACACTGGCCTGGAGTCCCCACCCTGTGACAGACGCAACACATCAGTTGTGTGGCTTCTCCTCCATTCCTGTACACGTGGTCCCGGATTAGTATCAGGGCCATGGTTCATATGGAGAGAGGACTTCAGCCTTCCCTCCTGTGCCACTTTCCCCAACCTGAAACAGTCTCAAGCGTAGGCTATTTGAAGAAACCCGGGTGTTCTCTGGGATATGTGTCTGTTTGCCCAGCTGGCCCAATAACACGACATGTGATCATTCCTGAGTTTCAAAGTTTACAAAATTATAGGATAAATACCAGGGGTCATTTCGTAGAAAAAGAGGTGCAGGAGCTCATTAGCATAACACATTAGCACAACTTTTTTGCATATGCCACGCCCCCTAACACCACCGGAAGTGTGTCAGAAGGCAACACCCACCACTCAGGCTACACTGGACTGTTTTGGATTGCTAACTGTTGGGGGGGGGTAACATGCAGATCTGTCCTCGCAGAGGAGGGAGAGCTTGTACCTGAATAAAACTTGGTCTTATAGGTGCCACTGGACTGTTTTGGATTGCTAGCTATGGGGGGGACATGCAGATCTGCCCTCGCAGAGGAGGGAGAGCTTGTACCTGAATAAAACCTGGTCTTAAAGGTGCCACTGGACTGTTTTGGACTGGGGGGGCGGAGGGGGAGCTCTGCAACTTACCTGGCTGCTTCTTGCTCTGACTGAGGGCTGCTGGGAGCAGGGGGCGCGGCTTGTTGCATGTGCCCGCCCCCAGGGCTCTTTACTGCCAGAGCTCCGCTCCTGTGCGCTCTGGCAGGAAATAACCCCTGATAAATACACAACATTCCCATAGGTCGTGATGGGTCACAGGTTGTGCCTGGGGGGACTTTTTGTGGTTTCACATACACTCCATAAAACGTAGGCTACAAAAAGGAAAGGAGGGGGAGATCTTCAAAAACAACTTACAACACTGGAGCGAACTGTTGAGCATGACATGAGGTGGAGAAAACACACACCCAATACGTATTGGTGATAAGCCACTGTAATCACACGGTGTAGTCATGTGACACTGTGCTGCAGCGGCCACAGAGCAAAATAAACATGGAGCTTGTTTCTCAAGCAGTGTTCAGTTCTCAACTGGGTTGGATGGGCCATTGCTACAACTGGAGAAATCTCTTTTGCTTAACGGTGCATCCAACATTTGGTGCAGTGGTTAAGCGTGCGGACTCTAACCTGGGAAAACCAGGTTTGATTCCCCACTCCTCCACTTGCACCTGGCTGGATGACCTTGGGCAAGCCATAGTTCTGGCACAGCTGTCCTTGAAAATGAGCGTTTTCTCTCAGAGCTCTCTCAGCCCCACCTACCTCACAGGGTGTGTGTTGTGGGGAGGGGAAGGGACAGGAGTTTGTAAGCCGCTTTGAGACTCCTTCGGGTAGTGAAGGGCAGGGTAGAAATCCAATCTCTTCTTCTTCTTCTGTCTTGTCCTCCCCATCATTTTCCAGACACAGCCCAAAGGGCTGGTTTTAAGTTTACTTGCAGAGTGTTGCGTTTGGTATGAACAGGGCAACACATTTATTTCTCCAGGTACGGCACGTTCAAAAGTGGACCCTCCAAAATCGGAATTCCTGGTTGCATGCACCAAAGCTGGAAAATATGTTCAGTGCCCTATTCACATGAAATGGTGAATGGGCATACTGAGAGGTTCACACATAGCGCACTCTCCCAGTACACACGGCAACTACACCCATCACACTTATTATATGCTAGTGTTGCCACCTCCAAATTGGAAAATTCCTGGAGATTGGAGGGGAAAGCTTGGGGAGAGCTGGGTTTCAGAAGAGGGGGGACCCTCAGCAGGGTAGGATACTACAGAGCCCACCCTCCAAAGGAATAATTTTTTCCAGGGGGATGGCTCTCGGCAATCTGGAGGCCAGTGGTAATTCTGGGAAATCCCCGGGCCCTGCCTGGAAGTTGGCAACCACAATTGAAAAGGAGCAAAAAAAACCCCACGAGAAACTTCAATAACGAGTTATTAGTGGAACAAAGTAATGTATCTGAGGACGTGTGCATGCACACAAAAGCTCATACCTTGGGTGATACTTTGTTGGTCTTCAAGGTGCCCCACTGGACTCAAACCTTATTCTGCTGCTTCAGACCAACATACAGAAGGGGGTGCAGCTCCTACGATCACCAAAAAATAACACCAAGTAAGCTGCGGTGGCTCAAGTGGTTAAGACGCTGAACTGCAGGCTGTGGAAGGTCGGTAGTTCAGCAGTTCGAGACCCGAGTTGCCGCATGACGGAGTGAGCTCCCGTCTCTAGTTCCAGCTCCTGCCAACCTAGCAGTTCGAAAGCAAGAAATTGCAAGTAGATAAATAGGTACCACTTCGGTGGGAAGGTAACAGCGCTCCGTGCGCCTTGGTGTTTAGTCATGCCGGCCACACGACCATGGAAACATCTTCGGACAGCGCTGGCTCTTCGGCTTTGAAACGGAGATGAGCACCGCAACCCTAGAGTCGGACTCGACTGGCTTTCGAGCAAGGGAACCTTTACCTTTACTTTAAGCTGCAATCATGCAAGTGCCCTTATATTCTTACAGAAGTAAACCTATGTCCTTACAGCAATACAAAAATACAAAGAATCTCATTAGAGTAGATAATATCTATCATATTTCAATCTCAGATGTTCAATTCCAGATGTTGGCGAAGTTCTCCGGAGTACTTCAGCCCACCTGCAAGTATCCGTGGAGTTCCATTTCTGCCCCCAACGAGCAGGTTTAACAGCTTCCTGAATAGCAGAAGGCTGAAGTAATTTTTTAAAAGAATTAAACGTGTTTTATTATCCATTGGTGGGAATGGATTGCTCTGAAAGAATCCACCTGAACCTCTTTTTCCTGGCTGCCACAGTCAAAACGGGATGGATTTTAGGACCCTGAGCCGCAGACACTCACCAACAGTCCTGAAACTTCCCAACATTTTTTCTTTTTTTTTGCAGCCTGTTGCTTATTCATTCAGATCAGGAGCAAAGCCCTATCCAGCCAACAGGGAACCAACGAGCGAGCGGGATAAGCCAAGGTCCCTGTGCAGGAGCAGCAGCAACGTAAAGGGGGGGAAAAGCAAGGGAACCAAACTTTGCAGACCCTTTTGAGAACTAAAGAGACTCGGTTCCTTGCGGTCTGTTCTCCCTCGCACGCTCGCCATGAAGCTTGTGGGACTCCCCTGCAACTCGAAACAAGCCCGGAATGGACAGAGTTGAGATTCGTTCCCCTGAAAAAGAAGGGGAAGCTCTGGAGAGAAAGGGAGCGGGGAGGACTGCCACTGAACACCCAGGCTACCGGACTGCACTTTCTTCTCCCAAATCCATCCACCGAGCTCGACCTCTTTGAACTCGGTCACCATGACATCTCCTGGCTTCTGGGACCTGTGGGCTTTGACGGGCTGTGGAATGTTCCTGCTCGTCCACGGACAACATTCCCAGGGAGACAACGGACGCTGGAGGCAAATGATTCAGTGGGAGAACAACGGCAGGGTGTACAGCCTCCTGAACACGGGCTCGGAGTACGTGCCCGCAAGTCACGTGCGAGCAGACAGCAGTGCCAGGGTCCTGCTAGCGGACACCGCCACGGGCCAAGGTAGACGATCCCAAGGGAACACCAGGCGGCAGGCTCCCAGTTTGCCGGTCAGAGCCAGTTCAGAGACCATCCGGGGACACACGCGGCATCCGTTTGGCTTCGGACAAGTCCCGGACAACTGGAGGGACGGACCCACTGGAGACAGTAGCGCCAATTCCCAGCGGCCCCGGTCGCCCACCGTTCGGCAGCGACAGGCCGGAGCTGCTTCCTCCTCTTCTGCCTTTGCCTCCTACGGACAGGTCTACCCGCAGGCCTCGTACCCTCAGCCGCCTTACGCCAACCAGTACGAGAGCTATGACCCCCAGGTGCCCCGCGCCTATGACGAGAGCTACACCTACTATCGGAGCACGGGAGCCGGGGGGAGTGCCGTGGCTTCCGCCGCGGCCAGTGCTGGGGTTGTGTACCCCTTCCAGCCCAGGGCGAGGTACGAGGAGTACGCAGAAGATCAGAATCCTTATAGGGCCCAAGGGTACTACCCCGTTCAGGAGAGATCCTATGTGCAGGTACCCCAACAGGTTCAGCCCTCTGATGGCCTAGACAGGAGGTACTCCCACAGTCTCTATCATGACACTGGAACTAGCTATGACCAAAATGTCCCCCAGGAGCCTTATCCCTCCACCCAGAACCAACCAGCAGTGGGCCAAGGGGTCCCTGTGGCAGACAACTTGCATCTCAACTCTGGATCTCCTCTGGGTACCGGCACTCAATACGGGAATGAGCCATGGGTGGGGCAATATCCCCCTTTTGGAGAGGCACCGGCGGAACCCTACGTCCCTCCTCGCAACGTGGAACCTCAGCCGCCTTTCCGGCCCTTAGACCCCCAAGGGGTCCCTAGGCCCGAACCCTACCTTCCTATCAGGAATGCTGAGCCTCCCCAACTGATTCCAGACAACCAAGGTGGTAACCAAGCGCGGGTCAGTGTGGGCAGCATCTACAGACCCAATCAGAACGGACGGGGTGAGTCTCTGGCGGCTTGTGGGCGGGTCGTTGGGGAGGGGAGGCAAAGTGCATTCTGGGACGGGCCTTTTCCTTCAGTCCCTAGGGGGGAAGGAGTTAAGGTAGGAAACACTTGAATAGCGTTGTGCCACCTCAAAGACTAAACATTCGTGGTGGCGCAAATGTCCAGGAGCTAAACCCCTTTTCATCAGGTCCATGAAGTCTTATCCTCTGTCCAAAGATCACACATGCTTAGTAAATAACGCTACTGGATTTCATAGCCCCTCATTTCATCCACCACCCACTGAATTCCATAGCCCCCGGGTTTCAACCACACAGACACTCAACCACCACACAAACACAAACGCACACTTATTGCATTTTTGCTTTTTCCTGGGCATCTTCATTTTCGCTCTATTACCTTGCACCGAATTTGCTCCCAGAAATCGACCCAATTTTGTTAATGCTATCTTGGCCTCAGTTGCATATAAATGGCATTAAAACGCTGCACTGTGTATCGGAAACACTGTTCCATGAAAACGGGCAAAAAGAAACAACAGGATGTACTTAAAAAGGGGAAAAGTAATATTCATACATCCCTAATATATACACATAAAACGCAAAAGCTCCCCACAGCAAACCGATACCCTGTAGCAAAGAAACCTGACCAGTATAGGCCACATTTGAGCAGATGCACATGATGTGCAATCCGGAATTCATCGATCTGGTGCATTTTTAATCCCATCCTTACTCCAAGGAGCAAAAGGCAGAATACATAGTTCTCTCCCCCCACACACACAATTTTATCCTCAGAAATTCATGCATGGCTCTTAGGGGTGAGGCGAGGAAGAAGAAGAAGAGGAGGAGGGGGAGGAGGAAGAAGAAGAAGAGGAAAAGGAAGAAGAAGAAGAGGAAGAAGAAGAAGGAGGAAGAAGGAGGAGGAGGAGATTGGATTTATACCCCACCCTTCACTACCCGAAAGAGCCTCAGAGCAGCTTACAATCTCTTTTCCCTTCCCTTCCCCACAACAGACACCCTGTGACTGTTCCCTCTAAGCTGTGGAGTTCTGTGAGCAAAAATTCCACTTTGTGAGCTACTGGCATTAGAATTGTGAGCAAGTTACTTGGCTACTGCATAAATTAGTTTGCTCTGGAGCCATTCTTCCTGAGCTAAGACAAAAACGTGTGAGCCGGAGGCTAAAAAACTGTGAGCCAGCTCACACTACCTCAGCTTAGAGGGAACACTGCCTGTGAGGCAGGTGGGGCTGAGAGAGCTCTGACTGAGAACTGTCCCTGAGAGAACAGCTCTGAAAGGACATGTGACCAACCCAAGGTCATACCAGCAGCTACATGTGGAGGAGTGAGGAATCAAACCTGGGACCGTCTGCATGCTGAGTAGATTCTCTTCCACTGAGACGAGGGCTCAGATCAATGCATAGGAACCCACATGAAGCTGCCTGATGCTGAATCAAGGTCAGCATTGCCTACTCAGACTGGCAGCAGCTCTCTAGGGTCTTTCCCATTGCCTCCTACCTGGTCCTTTTAACTGGAGATGCTGAAGATTGAATATGGGGCCTTCTGCATGCCAAGCAGAGGCTCTACCCCTAAGCCACGGCCCCTCCTTTGTCGATGTGCTGACACTGGTCTTTCACCCTCTTTCTAAGGTTTAGGTAACATGACCCTTGTACAACTGCACATGAGACTGAAAACCCCCGGTTTCCAAGGTCCCCAGTTCTCTCTTTAAAGGGCGCGCCCGTTGGCTAATTCTTACAAACAAAATGCCAGAACCGCATCTGGCTAGGATTCGGCACTCTCTCCCTCTTCCCTAGAGGCCTATGTCGACCAGCAGCTGCCTGGAATTGTGGGGGATTCCAGCTATCCGGAAAGAAACCGAGCCCTAAGTTTGCCCTTGAGATCAGACCCCCTGCAAGTCCCATCCAAGTTTCAGGGGGGGGGCACAAAATGAGTTTAACCTCATTTCCTTCTGGCATCTCCAAGGTCTCCGGAGGCCACAGGAAGTGTGAATTTTCTGGTCAGCTTTATCTGACACAGGTCAGCTTGCCTTTGCCCCCCTGTTTTCCGCTTGTCCCCATTAAGGAGGAAGCAAATGTTCACAGGTTTCAGAGCTTAAGAGGGAGTCCAGCTGTTCTACGCAATTCAGATAAAAGCCCGAAAACCCAAATCAGTACACAGGGCTTGGATTGGGCCCCTGAACAATTGCTGATTGACAGTGAAATTGACAGAAAAAGAAATTGACCGAGAAAGGTCCCCCCCCCTTCTGTAGCCCTGTAGATAGAAACAAATCAGTTTTTCCCTCTAGGACTGTTTAGAATGTCCCCGGTCAAGAATCTGACAAGCCGGGATCTTTTACATAAGACTTTGGGAACCACGGAGTAAACAAATGAGGCAATGTTTCGGGCAGTGAACTTAATTTTTTTAAAGTCTAGTCACAGAAGGAAGCTTGTCTCATCCCTTTAGTTTCACACTGAGAACCTAAGAAGAGCCCTGCTGGATCAGAGCAGTGGTCCATCTAGTCCAGCATCCTGTCTCACACAGGGGCCAACCAGTTCCTCTGGAGGTCCAGCAACAGGGCATAGAGGCTGAGGCCTTCATAAGAGCATCAGGAGAGCCCTGCTGGATCAGACCAGGGGTCCATCTAGTCCAGCCTCCTGTCTCACACAGTGGCCAACCAGTTCCTCTGGAGGTCCAGCAACAGGGCATAGAGGCCAAGACCTTTCCCTTATGTTGCTTCCTAGATCTGGGATTCAGAGGTTTACTGCCTCTGAATGTGGAGGTTTCTATGGCTAATAGCCACTGATAAACCTCCAGTTTGGTGTAGTGATTAAGCGTGGGCTCTAATCTGGGAGGACCAGATACGATGCCCCACTCCACCACATGCAGCTGCTGGTGTAACCTTGGATCAGTCATAGATCCTTCAGAGCTGTTATCTCAAGGGCAGTTCTCAAAAGAGCTCTCTCAGCCCACCTGCCTCACAGGGTGTCTGTTGTGGGGAGGGGAAGGGAAAGGAGATTGTAAGCAGCTCTTAGATTTTTGGTACTGAAGGGCGCGGTATAAATCCAAACTCTTTTCTTCTTCTTCTTCTCCTTCTCCATGAATCTATCTAATCTCCTTTTAAAGCTATTTATTTCTCTGGCCCTCACTACATCCTCTGGCAGTGAATTCCACATTTTAGTCACTCTCTGTGTAAAGAAGTGTTTCCTTTTGTCTGTCCTGAATCTGCTGCCCATCAGCTTCATTGGATGCCCTCGAATCCTCATATTTGGGGAGAGGGAGAAGAAATCTTCGTTGTCAGATCTCCCCACTTAAAGGCAAACATCAAACCCAACAAGTGAGAGAGGGCTGGTTTGATGCCTCTTCCAGGTGTTGGCGGCCAATGCAAATATTTGGGGGAGAGCACAGGTACTTGAGCTGCGGTGGCTCAAGTGGCTAAGACGCTGAACTGCAGGCTGTGGAAGGTCAGTAGTTCAGCAGTTCGAGACCCGGGTGCCGCATGACGGAGCGAGCTCCCGTCTCTAGTTCCAGCTCCTGCCAACCTAGCAGTTCGAAAGCAAGACATTGCAAGTAGATAAATAGGTACCACTTCGGTGGGAAGATAACAGTGTTCCGTGCGCCTTGGTGTTTCGTCATGCCGGCCACATGACCACGGAAACGTCTTCGGACAGCGCTGGCTCTTCGGCTTGGAAACGGAGATGAGCACTGCAACCCTAGAGTCGGACTTGACTGGCTTTCGAGCAAGGGAACCTTTACCTTTACCTTTACAGGTACCGAAAGAGACTCAGCCTTCCTTTTCACCTCACCGAAAGTATTAGATGCAGATGCATCGGGCTTCCGGGGGTTGGGAAACAAGGTTAACAGTGACATTCTTCTTCCAGCCTGGAGAAAAAGCACATGTCCTGTTTACAAAGTCCAGATTCCTGGGTCAGTAGGAAAGAGCAAGAGTCCAGTGGCACCTTAAAGAAAGACTAACAAGATCTGTCGCAGGGGAGGACCTTTTGTGAGTGTCTGTAGCAGTGAGCAGTGAGTCACGAAAACGCCTGCCCTGCCACAAATTTTGTTAGTCTTTAAGGTGCTCCTGGACTGTTGCCCTTTTCTACTGCTACAGGCAGACTAACGGGGCCACCCACGTCAAGCAGACTCCTGGAGAAAAATGGAGCAGTCCCCAAAGAAGTCTACAGGAACTACCACGTTGCACTGAGATCTAAAATATCCCTTTCTCTTCTTGGCTACAGCCAGTCTTTTTTTTTTAATACCCAAAATTGGAGGAAAAGAAATCATTTCTGAGCCTCTGTTAGGCCACTAACGAGGCCTCCGATTCAACCTTTCGTTTCACATGATTCCGGTTCGTGTTACCCCCCGACCTACCTTCCCGTCAATAAAATATTCTGGGAGGCCATTTAGGAAAGGGTTAAAAAACCTCCTGGCGAGTGTCAATGTGTTCTTCGTACATCGAGTTACATCCAGGGCTGTGGGTTTTCTGCCAGCGTGATCGTGCTTGGCACGGCCCAGGGCTCAGTACAGAACGTGGTTCGGGGACGATTTTTCATTGGCGAAAACGCAGCTTGGTTGACCGCAACGGAAAAAAATATATATATTGAAAATGTACTGGCAGCGCTGTTTATAAGCCCAGAAACCAAAGGAAGTATGGTACAGCTTTTTCTTTCCTTCCACAGTCAGAGTGGTTTAGTTGCGTGAGTGTGGGATTAGGGTCTCGGAAACACAGCTTCAAAACCTCAGACTATCCCAGAATTCACAGGCTGAGCTGTTCACCCTCTCTCTGTCTATCCTACATCACTGGGTTGTTGTAGGGGATTAAACTGGGAACTAGGACAACCAACATATGCCACCATAAATTCCATCAAGCAATAGTATGCTAAAAAGGGATGGAGGGATGGATAAGAACATAAGAGGAGCCAATGTTGGATCAGGCCAATGGCCCATCCAATCCAACACTCCGTCACACAGAGGCCAAAAATACCAGGTGCCATCAGGAGGTCCAGCAGT